GTTGCAAGTCTTCTTTCTTGCGGTGTTTTTTTTTCCTGTTCACTTTTTTGTTTGGGATTTTAAAAATTCTTTAGGAAAGCTGAGGAAGAGAGTTGGCGTGGGTTATCTTTCTTTCTTTCTTTTTCCAGGGGAGGTGACAGACTGTTGCAAGCTGATGAGTCCAGTAGGGGTTTTGCACAATATTGTTCAGAGCAATCCGAGGTTCAGAACTAAAACACAAAAAAGAAAGCCAAAACGAACACACACAAAAATGTACCCAACCACCTCCTGTACCCCTATAACTGTGGTGTTTTCGTTTTAAAGCAAAAGCACAGGGGGGGGGGGGGGATGCCTTGGCGAGTATATCACGACCATGGTAATTCCCATTAATTATACAATATCATTTACATTACGTAATAATTAATCAATTCTATGGCTAACACAGATAAGTCTGAAAGTACTCAACTCCAGGTCAGAAAGATCAATATTGTGCTTGGTGACTTCAGCAGGAACGAGGAATGAGGGGGCGTCACGTTCAGAACGTCTTGATTCCAACTATTTATATTTGTGGGGCATCCTGGTGAAATCAGGCGCTCGTCAAAATAATGGAATCAAAGAAATCGGCATTTTTAAATTTATAATTTATTTTTGTTTTGTTTTGTGATGGGCAATTTTTTTCTTTGTGGGGGGATCAACATCTTTTATGCCCATTTAAAAACACATTTCTGTGTGGATTTTACTGGAAAAACATAGATAAAAGGGACAAAAATGAAAATTTTCAGTTTCCAAGGACTCTCCTCAGGCAAAGGAAGTTACCAAACATTGGCTGCCTTTTTCTCGCTAATTTTACCCTCTGAAACCCGGCGACCCTGACCTCCTTCAATCGCAAATATTTCGACTTCTATTCAACAGAGATGGATATTTCTTCTCACCAATAGGAAAGTTAATGAAAAGGCTTTATATAAGATGATACCAGTAACCCTATATGCCCAAAAATTGCCGAGCGCCTGGTTCCAACTCGTCGGGACATATTTAATGGATTTTTTTTATGCCACTCTTCTCATAGATCTGGGGCTTATCTATCAATAACTACTGGCGTACTTAAAGGTGAAATCGATTTTTGTAAGCTGACTTTTCGCTCTTTGATCTCTCGGCCGGAAAGAACTGGTTCGGAAGGAAAATTATGTTGTTGTTGTTGTTGTTGTTGTTGTTGTTGTTGTTGTTGTTGTTGTTGTTGTTGTTGTTCGTAGTTGTTGTTGTTGTTGTTGTTGTTGTTGTTGTTGTTGTTGTTGTTGTTGTTGTTGTTGTTGTTGTTGTAGGTGGTGGTGAGGTGGGGGCGGGGGGGGGGTGCCATCGGTTGTTATGGTGGTTGTGGTGGTGGTTGTGGTGAATAAGGTGGCGTTGGTGGTAGTGGTGGTGGTTGTGGTGGTAATTGTGGTGGATGCGGTGGTGGTGACGGTGTTATTGCCGTTAGTGGTGGTACTTACATTTATTGTTGTTTCCATTGGTGTAGTTGCTATTGTTGTTTCTCGGTGGTGTTTTCGGAGGGAAGGGGTACAATAATCATTCTATCGCTTTACAATGATTTCTCTCAAAACTTGCAATCATTGTTTCAGTAAGTGTTTTACGCCACTTGCAACACGATAAGGTCATATAAGTGCCGAAGATTAGAGGTGTTACAGAGAGAGTAACAAACACACAAAAGAAGGATGGGGAATAAATACTACAGATATCTGACAGGAAAGATCTGTTCCTACACAATGCATTATATTTCTTACAATGAGCTTTATTTTCTTATAATGATGCAACTTCTCTTTACAATGAGTTATATTTCTTATAGTGATGCAACTTCTCTTGCAATAAGTTATATTTTTTTCAATGATTTAAATTTTCTTGCAATGAGTTATGTTTTCTAATACTGATGCAAATGAGTTATGTTTTCTTATAATGATGCAAATTCTCTTTACAATACGAAGTGTCTCTTACAACAATGTTTTTTTGTAACGTAAAATGTTCTCTTTCATAAGGTTATATTTTCTATCCATGTGTTATATTCTCTTATAATGTGTACTAGTATTGCACTTACATATTATATTCACAAATTTTAAAACAAAATTCTTTTATTAGAACGGAATCTATATTTTTCAAGGTAATATTTTCGGTTACAAAAGATTTGTTTCGAACAACGAGCTATATTCTCTTATTTAGTGTAATTACAATGAATCATTTGCTCTTACCAAAACAAAAAATTTTTCTCTTAAAAAAGAATAAACCATCTGACAACGGTGTCAGAAAATAGGCTGTGACACAAAACTAATTCTCTTTGTGTGTTTGTGTGTGTGTATGTGTGTGCGTGTGTGTGTGTGTGTGTGCGCGCGCGCGCGTGCGTGTATGTGTGTATGTGTGAATGTGTGTATGTATGTGTGTTCGTGTATGTGTGTATGTAAGTATGTGTGTTATTGTGTGTATGTGTATGTATGTGTGTATGTTAATATGTGTGTCATTGTGTGTATGTGTATGTATGTGAGTGAGTACGTGCGTGTGTTTGTGTTTGTGAGTGTGTATGTGTTCGTCTCATGGCAAAACCGTCCGTCATACCGACAACACACTACAAAAATAGCGTGAATATATTCAGACAGACAGGCAGACAGACAGACAGAAAAAGGGTGAGAAAGAAAGAGGGGGGAGGGGAAGATGGCGAGAGAGAGAGAGAGAGAGA